TCACGGTATCCTTGAGTAGAACATTTTCCTAAAGGAAGAAAGGCAGAAGTAATTCACACTCGGAGGTTACGCCGATAGCATTCAGCCAGCAGTGGATCAATCACGTACCACGGTGCAAACTAAACAGGGGAACTAGGTGAGGCGTAGCGCCGTCATCAACCTTGAGTCAAGTGCAACATTCGCTGTTTTCTGACAGCTGCCACTGGGGGTGCCCCTTTCAAATGCGTCAAGATGAGCGATGTTAGTCGAGGCTCATCACATTTAAAGCTCTCTGAAGCACCATCTAAGTAAAAGGGTGCGGCTCTATAGACAACTTATCCTAGTTGCTCACAGCTGCCCGATAACGAGTTACGGACCAAAAAACACACTCGAGGGCGCACGGATTTCGTGACGCTTTCCACCGCACGTTTGTCTTGGGAAGTTTTCCATTCACAGCATGGAAGCTGACAACGGGCAGCTGTCAGTTCAAACGCGTGTTTGGCACGTTTTGAAAATCATTCTTTTCGGCTCCGGTTTGTGTTTCCCAAAGTTTGGGGCAACGCTGTCATCTACATTGCTGGTTTTATCTGTGGTGAGTCCCGCAATAGCGACACGACTCTACACAACAGTTTAATTCATACCAGATCATCACCAGAGGTAAGGTGACCCTGCTTCCTTCCAGATAGACGGACAGAGCTAACACATCGACCCTGTGACCAACGTGGTTAGTTTTCTCTATGGACCGAGTCCCCAATAATGACACAACTCCGGAACAAAGTCACGCTGATTGCTGTGTCCACTCACTGGCTTGATGTCTGCATGGATGATGCTCCTGGCCTTGGTGTGGCAAAGGAACTTGAGGATGCCCCTGGTGTAAGTTTTCACCATCCCCATGTGCAATTTCCGGAACCCCGCTTCCGTAATCACATCATAGAGGCTCTCCCTGTGAAAGAGGCAGCAGCAGCAACAACAATGACAACAACGAAGCAGCGTCAGTGTCATACCCTGCAATACTGCGTGGATTCTGATAACGACAATATTAATATGATATTTGCACATTCACGACTAATATGATTCATAGCTCAGTGTGGGTTTAGGTCATCGGTTTGTTGATAAACCAAATCAGTTAGCACATCTGTCCACTTGCTTTCATTGGCTCTGTTTCCGGGTGGTGGAATTATCCATTAGGAGATACAAACTCCACGCAGAAAGGCGTCCGAGTTGAGAATCGAACTCAGGGATTTTCACCG